ACATCCTTAACCACAGGTGAGCCTGCTGCTGGGCGGGGGAGTGGGTGGGGCGGGGCGGGTGTTTCGTCTTCAGGCAGGTCCACATGACCTGGCCAGGCTCTGGGATTAAAGGACACATTTTGGGCAGGGGGAAGATGGGGTGGGGAGATTAAGGCCTTCTTTCCCATGGCCTGGAGCACATTTATACACATACTAATAGATAATTTGTCTTCCTCTTTTTGGCTCTCCTAGTGGTCTTGGGACCCTGTAGGGCAGTGGTTCTCAACCTTCCTAACGCTGCTACCCTCTGATACAGTTCCTCCTGTTGTGGTGACACCCCTAACTATAAAATTATTTCATTGCTACTTCATAACTGTAATTTTGCAACTGTTATGAATTGTAATGTAACTATCTGATATGCAGGATATCTGATATGTGACCCCCCCCAAAAGGCATCTCTAACTATAGGTTGAGAACCGCTTTTGTGGGGGGTTGGACGGCTCATTAATAAAAGACTCTTTCCGGGGCAGCTCCATCCATGTGTCCCGGAAGGGTTGGCACATGCTGTTGAACCTGTGTTTCCACATGGCCATGACCTCCGCTGTCTTCGTGGGGGGCATCACTCTCACCAACTACCAAATGGTTTGCCAAGCGGTAAGAAGGGGGTGGGGACTCTAAAATGAGTGACTTCAGGGGAAGAGGGGGCCTAGCAAGGAAAATAAGGTTTATGGAAATAGCCCTCAGTTCCTCTGTTCTCTGTACTAGCCTTGGAGGGTCTGGAAGGGGTGGGTGGCGTGTGGAGTGACAGGCACGGTCAGACTAGCTCCAGGATCACTGGAGATGGGGCTTCAAAGGGGAGAGTGGGGAACCACAGCAGAGAAGAGGCCACATATCAGCCAGACTGCCCTGCCTGGGTCCCGGAGAATCCCTGGGGTGTGAGAGAGAGCCCTGGCTGGAAGCAGAGAGGACACCAGCAAGGACCAGTGTGACGAGTACCTGGGTGGGATGCTGGAGGCATGGGAGTAGTGGGAACATGCACCGCCATTGACTTCCAGGGTGTAGCCCAGTCAGCAGCTCAGGTCCCAAGCCTCAGTGCCTTGACCTTGTAGGTGGGCATCACTCTGCACTACTCTTCACTGTCCACGCTGCTCTGGATGGGGGTAAAGGCTCGAGTCCTCCACAAGGAGCTCACTTGGAGGGCCCCCCCTCCAGAAGAAGGGGATGCAGCCCCGCCTGGTCCTCGCCCCATGCTCCGGTAAGTGCTTCCAGTTCTCAACTATGGGAAGGGGCCACAAGACCCAAGACAGGTGTAGCAAAGCTGGGGGGTGGGGGATGGGGATGAGTAACAAGATCCCTAGGATCACACTCCAAAGGCAGGGGAGCTTCTTAGGCATGACAAGGGTGGGGAAGGAGGTGACACCAAAGGGATTGGGTGGGGCTCCTAAAAACCTTCCTGACATCCCTCACTCAGACTGCTTTGGGTTGGAGAGAACAATTTTGGTCCTTGACCTCTGTAACAGTTCTTGGCCAAGTTCCGAAGAAGCTGCCCTTCCTTAGGAGGCCTTACATTCCAGCCCGACCCCACCTCCCCCAATCACACAGATTTTAAGGAGACAGAGGAAAAGACAGAGATGTCAGTTTGAGGGTTCCGAGCACCTGGTTCCCTTACCTCCAGTACACGATCTCTCCCCCACCCCCAGGTTCTATTTGATTGCTGGAGGGATCCCCCTCATAATCTGCGGCATCACCGCTGCGGTCAGCATCCACAACTACCGGGACCACAGTCCCTAGTGAGCGCCACTCCCTCCTGCCTCCTCATCACTGTCTGCCTGCCCCAACCTTCACACCAGCCCCATCCATGCCTGCCGGTCCACCCAGCCAGTCTGCATGCTGACTAAGTCAGGGTCCGCCTCGCCTCTCTATTTCCCACATCCTACCTCATCGACCACCCAAGCCTGTGCCCCAGCTCCTGGACTCTCCAAACTCTTCATCCACTACCTCTGTCTCCCCCTAGTTGCTGGCTGGTGTGGCGTCCAAGCCTTGGCGCTTTCTACATCCCGGTGGCATTGATTCTGCCCATCACCTGGATCTACTTCTTATGTGCGGGCCTGCACTTACGGGGTCATGCGGCCCAGAATCCAAAGCAGGGTAACAGTAGGCTGTCTCTGGAGCCAGGGGAAGACCTGAGGGGTTCCACCAGGCTCAGGAGCAGTGGCGTCCTTCTGAGTGACTCTGGTTCCCTTTTGGCTACGGTTGGCGCAGGGGTAGGAACACCGGCGCCTCCAGAGGATGGTGATGGCGTGTATTCTCCAGGAGTCCAGCTGGGGGCGCTAATGACCACACATTTCCTGTACCTGGCTATGTGGGCTTGTGGTGCTTTGGCGGTGTCTCAGCGCTGGCTGCCCGGAGTGGTGTGTAGCTGCCTCTATGGTGTGGCAGCTTCAGCTCTGGGCCTCTTTGTCTTCACGCACCACTGTGCCAGGCGTAGGGATGTTCGGGCTTCCTGGCGCGCCTGCTGCCCTCCTGCTTCACCCTCGGCTTCCCACGCCCCACCCCGGGCCCTACCAACTGCTGCGGAGGATGGATCCCCAGTGTTGGGGGAGGGACCGGCCTCCCTCAAGTCCTCCTCCCCAAGTGGCAGCAGTGGGCGCGCGCCGGCGCCCCTGTGCAAACTCACCAATCTGCAGGTGGCCCAGAGTCAGGTGTGCGAGGCTGGTGTGGCTGCCCGCGGGGATGGAGAGCCAGAGCCCACGGGCTCCCGTGGCAGCCTAGCTCCCCGGCACCATAACAATCTACATCACGGGCGCCGAGTACACAAGAGTCGGGCCAAGGGTCACCGAGCTGGAGACACTGGCGGCAAGAGCCGGCTGAAGGCGCTGCGCGCGTCTACAGGAGCTCCAGAGCTGCTGTCCAGTGAGAGCGGCAGCTTGCACAATAGCCCTTCCGACAGCTATCCGGGCAGCAGCCGCAATAGCCCCGGCGACGGCCTTCCACTCGAGGGCGAGCCCATGCTTACGCCGTCGGAGGGCTCCGACACCAGCGCAGCGCCCATCCCTGAGACGGGGCGACCCGGGCAGCGCCGCTGCGCCAGCCGTGACAATCTCAAGGGCAGCGGCAGTGCACTGGAGAGGGAGAGTAAGCGCCGCTCATACCCGCTCAACACTACCAGTCTTAACGGCGCCCCCAAGGGGGGCAAGTATGAGGATGCCAGTGTGACCGGCGCAGAGGCCATAGCAGGAGGCTGCATGAAGACCGGCCTCTGGAAAAGTGAGACCACCGTCTAGGGCAGAAGCGGGCTAGATTTAGAGTGGGCCGGCCACACCGGCTTGTTACTCTCCTCGATCCTCCTGGGCGGTCCAAACTGTCTACCGATGTGTAGGTCTGAGGCGGCCATGCTGATGGCTGCCCCTGGGCTCACCATCTTTAGTTACCCAGGCTGGGAAAGGGAGAAGGCAGATACTTGCCACTTGTCTGCACTATCCCTCAGCAGTAGCGACAGACAATCCCAGACATCAGCTTAGACCAGTTTTGATGGTCAAGTTCTTGGTGTGCCCTCCCAGGTAGGGATAAAAGTTCTGTGGGGTGACCCATAAACGGAGTGGCAAAGCCCAGCCCCGGTAGGCTCAGGAAACCTGGGAACTGCCTTTTCCTCACCAGCTTTAGGAGGCACCACGTGACTGCTAAGATCCCTGGCCTCTCCCCCAGTTCTGGCTTGGGAAACCATCCTAGCAGGTGAGCCAGGTGCCCGGCCAGGGCGAGTAACAGGTGCTGCCTTTTCAGATAAACTATGCAAGGGGGAGGCGTGGAGTGTAGGTAACTCTAAGACCAGCTGAGTCCCGCAGGAGGTGGGCAGGTGGGAGAGGTGCACGATTAGGGACACGTGATCCCTAGGGAGTGGTACACAATCCTTCCAGAAGAGTTCAGAACAAGACCTGAGAAAGCAATGCTACCAAGTGCCTAAAGACTCAAGAGGAGGAGCTGAGGTTTGGATCTGAGCGCAACCTGTCCGATAGCCTTGAGAGGGGCTGCACTCAGCTGTTCAGTGACAATACCCACTGCCTGCTCTCAGCTGTCCAACTCCAAGGGACTGGGGAAAATGCCTCCATGAGGTGTCTGTGGCAAAGCCATGAACTCCAGTTAGGAACCTGAAATGCCAAACCATCTCCCAACTCACCGAAACCCCAGCAGGCTCTGAGGGAGCACCTGGGTGCAGGCTGCTCGAGGCCCTGTGCCTTCACTACTTGCTAAAACCTCCAGCCCCATCTTCCCCAACCTAAAATGCCTTTTTACTACAGAGCCACACGGAAGTAGAGGAATTCTTGGGCCTTGGGAAGCAGTAGGGAACCCGGGTCTGGTAGGTGAGAGAACACGGTGGGGGAGAATCCATGCTCCTTGAGATGGGCCCCATTATTTATGCTTGCTGCACAGACAATATTAGAGGAGAAGCTTTGTATTACTCCCCCACGTATGCTGGCTGCTATTTACATACCCTGCCAACGCCTTAGCACTGGAGAGCTTTTTGCAATATGCCGGGAAAAGGGGAGGGAGGGAACCAAGTGCCAAAGAAAACATGTCTTAAAAGCTCTGGTTTTATACAATAGAATGTTTTCTAGCAGATGTCTCTTTGTTTTAATATATTAAAATCTTGCAAAGCCCTCTGAGCGACAGCCGCAGTCCACCTATGGTCCTTTTGTTAATGAGGTAGAGGAGGCAGGTGGACACCTAAGACCACTGGAGCCCAGAGCAAACATGGGCCAGGAATCGCTGCTCCTGCTTGTGTCATGGTGGATACCACCTCTTTCACAACAGCAGTGTACTGACTTCACACCATGGCAGGAGAGAGCCGGGCAGATCTTCAGCAGTCTTAGGAGTCCAACCCAGACTGTGGACAGCCAAGGTGCTCCCCTCCACCAAGGGACAGGATTTTCCCACCCACAGATATCCCATGCACCTCCCAATATCTCTAGGGTGCTGGGTCCAATTAACTGCTACTCTTGGCTTCCTTAAATAAAAAAGGGATACCCAATGGTCATGTGCATTTACTTCTTGCAACATGGCAGGCCTATTAGCAAATCGTAGTCAGAATTACTGACTACACCTGGAAGAACCTGCATCACGGAGGGCTAGGGACACTCATGGCTGCCTGGCCAGCAGCCTGGGCTCTCTGAAAGTCTCTAACTTCCTGAGGGGTGCGCAAATACTGCTCGATTTCACTATCAGAAATGTTCTCATCTCCAGTCACTACGGAAACACAGGGGCTGGGATGGGTCTGTTTGGGAGGCTTTAACATACAGGGTGGGAGGAGAGGTGCAGGACTGGCTGGGCGTTTCCTCTTGGGCAAATCAAAGGTACTATCTTCCGCTTCTTGCTGTCCTTGTTCCCCCGGCTGCTGCTTCTGGGTCTCCGCTTCTGCTGTTACATCTCGAAAAGTCAAGCGCATCAGCATGTTGCGGTGCTGGAGGAGGTCACCAATGTGCTTCACCACAGTCCGCTTGTCAAGCTTTAGGACCTGCAGCCAAGCCAGCTGGTCAGCCATCTGAAGCAGCACAGTCAGCAGCTCCTGCAGCCGGGAGGCAGCTGGGTAGGGCAGGTCCACGTTTGCCAGTTTACAGAACTGGGCAAGTGAACATGTCAGTCGGTCTGAAGGCCGCAGAGACTGCCATGCCAGGAAGGTGGCTGCAGTGATGACAGGCAGGGGATGGCGCCCAGTCACGAGCCATGTCTCATTTGCCAGCTCCACCAGCAGCAAGGTTCGAGACAGTACCTTGTCTTTATCCTCCACATATTTGGCTGGCATGGATGGGGAAGCCTGGAACAGTTTGAAGCTGAAACAACCAAAATGAAGGTCAAGTGAATGATAGGGTGTTCTTCCGGGGTTAGCAGGGTAGTCTACCCAAGATGGATAGGGAAGCTATTTTGTCCTAGAGACACTCAAGGTCACAGGAGCAAAGTACTGAGCAAAGGGGCAGGGACGTGCCAGATGAATAGTACTAACAGCCGAGCACCTTCCTACTGGCAGTTCCAGTGTCCCCATTCGCTCTACAGGAAGGGCACCGTTACATGTGTCTACTTAGGATATGACCACGTTTCAACCGTTTGGTAACAGCCCTGGCTGTCCCGAAACTCGCTTTGTAGACCAGGCTGGCCTCAAACTCACAAGGGATCCGCCTGCCTCTGACTCCCGAGTGCTGGGAGTGAAGGTGTGCGCCACCACCCCCGAGCCTTGTTTGCTTCTTTTAACATATGGGCTCACACCAAGTTCAGGCCGGTCTAGAACGCAATACTCTTGCTTCAGTCTCCCAAGTGCTGGGGTCAAGAGAGTGTGCTACCAAACTTTGGCAGCCATTTTTGTGGTTTGGTTTTGCTTTAAAGTATACTTGTCAGAGAAAAAAAAAAACTAAAAGAAAGAAAAAAACAAAACAAAAAACAAAGGGCAAACCCAAGGATCATGGTGCACACCTGTAATCTCAGCAGTAGGAAGATGGAAGTGAGGTGATCAGAAATACAAGCCCAGCCTGAGCTGTATGAGATTGTCTAAAACCAAACAACTAAAAATCTCACTAAAACCTTAGCTTCAAACCTTGTTCGACCACTAACTAGTATCTTTGGACTCCATATAAAGGCAATCCTGCCAGAACAGGGCCCCTACCACGTAATTCCAGTGACTGCCATTCATAAAGCAGGAGGGGAGCAACTCAGCAGCCCTATGCCAAGGCTGGCTAAGGAAAAACATTATCACAGTCCTGTGACAGAAAGGGGATGGGAAGATTACAGCATCCTGGAAATGTATAAACGGTATTGATCTCAGTAGTGAGCACGGGTTGGGAAGGAAAGACAGACAGGCTCTGGTGAAAGCACACATCTGCCAGGACAGCTGCCTACCCCATGTTGCCTCCTAGACAAGTACCTGCCGCAGTAAGACTTCACCAGGTCTTCCAGGCACAGAGCTGGCACGTCCAGTCCCAGAAGCTTCACCAGCTGCATATAGGTGCCAGAAAACATATCCAGATCTGCATACAGCAGGGTGCAGATGGTGGCCATGGTCAGGGGCCAGTTATGTTGCCGGCAGGAGATGAGAACACAGCATCCAATTAACGCTTCCTTCTTCTGGAGCCTCGCAGCGCGGATGCCAGACAGCTGATAGGCCTTTTGGTAGTAGGAGATGGCGGTCTCCTCGAATGTTGGGGGCAACTTCAGGATCCGACACAGGTCTCTCACTCGACGGAGATCTAGGAAAACACATAGTAAGCAGAGAGGTCAAAGGAAGTTCGGCGAGGCCTTAAGTTAGTTCCGTTAAACTTGTCATATATAGCAGATGCGCAAATTGCCCTTCTAGCCGGGTAGTGGTGCACGCCTTTAATCCTAGTACTCAGGAGGCAGAGGCAGGAGGATTCGAGGCCAGTCTAGTCCACAGAGTGAGTTCTAGGACAGACCCCAAAGCTACAGAGAAACCCTGTCTAAACAAAAACAACAAAAACAAACAAACAAACAGAAGAAAAAAAAAGAAAAACAAAAAACAAAACAAAAATGCCTTCTGTACTAACAGGACACTTGATGTGGCCATATGCACTGGAGCTAGACTTGATCCTCAAGCATGATGGGCAAGCTCTTTATGACTGAGCTGTAGTCTTGGCCTTTAGAGCTATGCTCCTTCCAAAGGTACAGAACATTTATGGGAAGGTCACATTCAATCCACCACCCTTTTATGAGCTATTCTGACTTATAGACAGGACAAAGTTCCAGTTTTTTGGTTCTGGGGATTGAACCCCAAGCCTTACACATGATAGGTGCATACTCTGCATACTCTGTCACCAACTTACCCCCCACCCCCAGCTCCAAAGCCAAGCTTTTACCAAGGCTTCTTGAGGCTACTTTAAGCCTGATGCAGACCCAAACCTTCACCTACCTCTATTCCTTTGGGTTTCTAAGACACACAAACTATGTAAGCTATAAAGTCTATTTGCCTCTCCTGAGTGCTGGGGCTGTAAGCACACAGCCCATCAATCACGGTTCTCTTCTAGCCAATCTAATACCAGTAATGCTGACAGCAAGAACATACACAGATGGACTAGGACGACGTCGAGACAATTTTCTTTCAAGCCACTGAATAATAAAAAGTTGGTTCTCTGGGATGGAGAGATGGCTCAGCAGTTGAGAGCACTTGCTGCTCTAGCAGAAAACCTGAGGTTCAGTTCCCAGTACCCTCATGGCAACTCATAACTACCTATAACTCCAGGTCCATGTGATCCAACACCCTCTTCTGACTCCATGGGCACCAGGCATGTGCATGGTATACATACATACAATTAGAACATCCATTCAAATATTCAAACATTAAAGAATCACATAAATCAAAGCAAAGCTAAAATTTGAGGAGAAAAAGGGTGATTCTTACCTCGCTGCTGGCTGCGGCTAACTTGCTCGTTTTCCCCTGTGCTTTGGGAATATGTCACTTCTGTAAATAATATACAAATTATTAATAATAAGCAAATAGCACAGGTGGCCTCTATTCATTCATCATCTCCTTGTCCTCTGACCACGTAAAACCAGGGAAATTTCAAACTATCGCGTGTCTACTTCCCATCTCAGAGAAGATGTAAAAGTAAAGGCTTTTTATGTCTTCAAGTAGCAAAGACAGCCAGTATAGAACTATATAAAGCAACGCTGGTGATTCCAATTTCCCAGCTTTTTCTCTGGAGCATTCAATTTTGAGGTAGCACAATGGTTCTCAACCTTCTAATGCTGTGACCCTTTAATACAGTTCCTCATATTGTGGTGACCTCCAACCATAAACTTAGTTTCGTTGCTACTTCATAGGTGTAGTTTTGCTAGAGTTACGAATTATAATGTAAATGGCTGATATGCACGATGGTCTTGAGCTACACCTGGGAAAGGGTCGTTCAATCCCCCAAAGTGGTCGAGACCCAAAGGTCTCCCTGAACTAAACAATGGCGTGGAAGAAAAGGAGGCACATTTTGCCAGTTAGTGCTAAAAATTACTGTGGGGTAATGGTTCGCATTCTATTCCCAAATGGTTCATGTTGTATTCCCGAATAATTTGTCAACAAGCCTCCAACACTGACCAGGTCCTTAAAGAGGAGCGAAACCTTTTCCGTTTTGTTCATTCACCATCGGTATACCCACTAAATGCCAGGCACCATAGTAGGTACTGGGGAAAATAGATGGAAGAGCACCTCCTCCAGCTACTTTTTTTTTTTTTAAAGCGAGCTTCTCCCACATTTCTGTGCGCACGACCAAGAAAGGGGGTGGGGGGCTAGGAGTCTGGGATAAAGCATTCCACCACACCAGGCTACCCCCAGGATACCTCTGAGGTTGCCCTCGTCGCTGAAGGTGGTAGTAAGGACCCCTTCGGTGACCACACAGCCGCAGTCGGAGCACACCAGCTGGCTCTGCGAATAATGCGAGTCTTCCACGAGCTCAGAGGAGCCGCAATCCGGGCAGCGGCTTCCGCTCGGCATCTCAGCATTTGTCCAGAGACGCGGTAGCGCCGGGGACACCCACTCCTAAGAACGCCCGGCTGCAGGAAAGCGGGAGGGGACCTTATTCCAAATGCACCTTCCTCTTCCGGTCAGTTGGATAACCGGTTGGAGGTTTGCTCCGCCCCGTGGCTGCACGCCACTTCCGATCTCGTCTGTGGACTCGTGTAGAAACATGAGTTCGAAAGGAAGGTTCCTGGGCTTACCTGTGTCTTAGGGTCTCTGGTGTCTTGAGATTGGGCCACGTTAGGAGTTGCCAGAGATAAGGAATTGCTCTCTACGAAACCCTTTCTTTTTCTTTTTTTTTTTTTTGGTTTTTCGAGACAGAGGTTCTCTGCAGCTTTTGGAGTCTGTCCTGGAACTAGCTCTTGTAGACCAGGCTGGCCTCGAACTCACACAGAGATCCGCCTGCCGGGATTAAAGGCGTGCGCCACCACCGGCCAGCGAAATACTATTTTTTTTATATCATTTAATTTATTATTTATTTTAAGATTATCTTGCTTATGGAGCCCAGGCTGACCTAGAATACTGCTATTTCTGCCTCCCACCTACCACTTGCAGGGATTACAGGCTTGCGCCACCAGGCCAGATCCCTTTTTAAAAGTCACCTGGAATCAGTTTCTTCCTTCCGATGTAGTAAGGAATGTTAAATGTAACTATAGTAGGAAACAGATCACCCTGCTATGAGAGAGCTATAAATTGTCCTCTGCTTTACGGAACTGCCTCCCCAAACAACTTTTGCTCTCTCCTGCTCTGTCTCTCTCTCCCTCTCAAAATCTATTTTGTTTTTGTTTGTTTTCAACTATAAAATAAGGGAATTGTGCTGGACATGATCACCTGTAATCCTAGTGCTTGGGAGATGGAGGCAGGAGGATCAGGAGTTCAAGGTCATCCTCCTCTATATAACAAGTTGGAGGCCAGTCTGAACTTTAGGAAACCTTATCACAAATAAATCAAAATAGCTAGGTATGTTGGCATACTCCCTTATTCCTAATTTTGGGGAGACAAAGAGTTTGAGGCCAGCCTGGTCTACATCTCAGTTCAGCCCAGCCAGAACAATTTGGGAACCTGTCTCTAAATAAATAAATGAATGAATGAATGAATGAATGAATGAATGAATAAATAAATAAATAAATAAATAAATAAATAAATAAATAAATAAATAAAATAAGACTGTTGTGTAGAGCACCACACCCGTCTGCGCTCTATGCGCTACCATACAGTTCATGAACCGGGCAAGGGGCTGGAGATTGAAACATACAAAGACACACAGACAGAGACACAGGTCATTCTTGATGCCAAGATGCCCCCCTTTATTGCGTCCAGGGGCAGCTTATATAGGGATCATTAACTGATAGCTACACCCCAACCAAACACACCAGAAACCACTTCCCTGCCCTCAGGAACTCCTGAGGGTCTCATGCTCAGTGCAGCTGCAAGCATCACAAGTTGTTTACAAGAAATTCAGGATGGGGGGGGGGGGCGGTTCACAGCTCCCAACACTGTTGAATTAAACTCTTGAGTGATAGACTTAGGTGTCTTCAGAGAGTAACATGCAAAGAAACATAGTTCTCACCTCAACGAGGATAAGGACAAGTTTATGCTAGAGCCAAAAAGGAGGACTAGCGCCTTGGAACAGATTCAATTTTCTCCAATAACAATGCACCGTATGAAAGTGTATTAGTTCTAGAACAAAGAAAGCTAAATATTCACCAAATACAGTGGTGGGGCCACAGGTAGGCATGCTAGACAGTAGTGGGTAAACCTTTTCTGTGGGTTTAAGATGCTGGCTGATGACATTCTAGCTCCTGAATTGGTAGACGCTGGCAGCTGGCTAAGAATACATTTTAAGTTGTTGGGTTGTTTTCTTTGTTTTTAAGACAGGGTTTGCTACTTAGCTCTGGCTGTTCTGGAACTCACTATATAGGCTAGGCTGGCCTCAAACTCACAGTAATCTGTTTGCCTCTCTTCTTCCTGAGTACTGGGATTAAAGGCAGGGGCTACCACATTTGGCCTACACTTTATATATACACACATATATACATACATATATGCATATATGTATATATATACATACATACACTATCTATATAGATAGAAGGAAAAATCTGGAAGAGAGGGAGCAAGAGAGCAAGGAGAGGAGGACGTCAGGGGGCAGTCACCCAGTTACACAGCAAACCACAGAGAAAGAAGTATACAGAAACAGATGAAGATAAAAGCCCAGAGGCAAAAGATAGTCAGGATAAATTGAGAAAATCTGGCAAGAAATAAGACAAGCTAAGGCCAGGTATTCATAACTAAGCCTCCAGATGTGATTTACTTGGGAGCTGGGTGGTTGGGCCCCCTAAAAAAAGCCAAAAGAGAAAAAGATCAAACAACAAATGAGACAACAAAAAGTGTGTTTTCTTTGTTCCTTCTTTTTTTAAATATTTATTTATTTATTATGTATACAATATTCTGTCTGTGTGTCTGCCTGCAGACCAGAAGAGGGCATCAGATCTTATTTAAGATGGTTGTGAGCCACCATGTGGTTGCTGGGAATTGAACTCAGGACCTTTGGAAGAGCAGGCAGTGCTCTTAACCGCTGAGCCATCTCTTCAGCCCTTCTTTGTTTCTTCTTAAGGATTTATTTTTAATTATACCGAATGTGTCTGTGTGTAGGTATTTGCAGACCTATGTGGGTATGCTGGAGGCCAGAAGAGGGTTTCAGATCCCCTGGAGCTGGAGTTACAGGCAGATGCCTGACGGGCTCTGGGAATTAAAGTCAGGTCCTTGGTAAAAGCAGCAAGCATTCTTAATCACTGAGACAGCTCTCCAAACTGTTTACAGTGGGATCCCATAGGCCTGGGGAGATGGCTCAATGGTTAGGAGTAATTGACACTATTCCAGAGGACCTGAGTTGGGTTCCTAGCACCCGCACTGGTCAGCTCACAACTGGCTGTAACCCCAGCTGCCCTCCAAGGGCACCCATAGTCTAGCTGTCTTCCCCCCTCACACACACACACACACACACACACTACACTTACACAGACATATACATGAAAATAGAAAACACTTGAAAAATACAGGATCCTATGTATTCCAGCATAAGTTCACACAAACTGTGTAGCCAAGGATGGCCTTGAATATTTATTTGATCCTGTTGCCACCAATTCCAAAGTGCAGGAATTACAGGCATGTTGTTACCGTGACCAATTGGGAGTGTTTTGTTTTTTAGAATTTTATTTTTAAATTTTGTGTATGTGTTCAAGTAGGTTTGTGCACATGAGTGTGTGGGTGCATGTTCGTGCAGAAGAGGGGGGTGTTCCTCTATAACTGAATTCACAAGTGGTCAGGAGCTACCTGATGTGGGTGCTGGAAACCGGACTTGATCTTTTGCAAGAGCAGTAGGCACTCTTAACTGCTGAGCCATCTGGCCTGCCTCTGAGATAACACATTATTTTATAAACATGTCCTAATTGCACTCGCTGACAGTAAAGACCTTCAGGGCTAACACAGAGTTGGAATACTTGTCTGTCAGCAGTAACACACACGCACAAAGTCTTTATTGAAGACAGGATCTATTATGCCCAAGATAGTATCAAAATGTGTGTGTGTGTGTGTGTGTGTGTGTGTATACATGCATGCCAATGCATAAATGTGGAGGTCAGAGGGCAGTTTATGGGTGTTGGTTCCTATGTGAGATTCAGGGATTGAATTTAGGTCCTTTGGCTTGGTGTGAAAGTGCTTTTACCTGCTAAGCCATTCGCTGGCCCCATTATCTTATTTCTGAGACAGAGTCTCATGTAGTCCAGACTAGATCTGAACTATGTGACTCAGCATGACCCTGAACTTCTGCTACTTCTGCCCCCACCTCTCAAATCCTGGGACCACAGTCGTAGGTCACCACACCGGCTTGGCTCCTTTTGTTTTCTGTTTAAACAAGCCGTGTTCAGAACAACTTTATTTACTTACTTACTTGTGGTCAAGCTGATGTGCATGCACAGGTACGGGAGGCCAGAGGACAATCCTGACTGCTCCTTAGACACCATCTATCCACCTTGTTTAGATGGTCTCTAACTGCGCTAAGCAAGGTTAGGTTACCTGGACAGCAAGAGCTCCTGGCCACCCACTGCCCTGACTGTTCCATCGGAGGCGTTCCTGAGCTGATTGCAGCAATTGGGAGGGAGACGTGGAGAGGCAGCTCCAGACAGCCACAGCCACAGCCCAGACAGACCACTGAGAAGACAGTCCAGGCACGGTCCATGTGCGCCGTGCTAGTTTTGACAGTGGGATTTTTCTAGAAGGGAGACTAAAGAGGGAGTGTTTAAGGAGAGGTATTGGGAGGAGTCCCCTTCACCCCCACCCCAGACTGTCCATCCATTGGACACTGTCAGTCTGGCTGACCTCCCCTTGAGGGCGCATTTCTGAGGCTCGATCATCTTGGGGAGGGAATAAAGGTTCAGCTGCTGTGAATAACTGTCCTGGGTGGGCCTGGGAGAAGCACTAAATGGATGGAATTCCTCAGATCCTGTCCCGCGCTACCGTCTCGCCAGCAAGAACCACGCGGTACACATAG